GCAGAAGAGGTAGTTTTTATCTGTCGGCGAAATGAGTCGCTAGAATATTTTTCTAACGAAGTGTGGATGAACGGTCATCTTCGTTTAGTTTGTAAACGATGACTGATGTTTTTAGGCAATCAAAAAAATGCCACAACTGGAGATGACAGTAGAGTACCTCAAGTCAGAAGCAGAAGCGTTGAATCTTGAGATTAAAGAAACAAGCAGCAAGTTGGATATTGAAGTCGAGTCAAAAGAAAAGGTCATTTTATTTTTCTGACGTGCACTTGGAAATGCATGTTGCCGGCGATGCTTGTTGACAACACATGATTAACGCATAGTTTCGCTTTTTGCATGCAGAACCTTTAAAACAAGCAGGGTCCGCAAAAGTTGATGAAAGTAGTGCGAGAGAGTGTGCCTTCCACCAAGGTGGTTGTAACGCCATTTAAAGGACGAATTCACGATGAAAAGCAACCCATTTCAAATTAACCTAGGGATGGTGAGTGGTACACGAAAGAAGGAAGAACCATGAGAAACGGCCCAGAACCCGAGAAATGGGACCCCTTCCTTGCCCGTTGATTTGAGCATTGATGCGACTCTCATCGCTGTGCCCTCTTCAACACTACGCTCTCTCAGCTATCTAATCGTATTGAACTACGGCGAGTGATCAGATGATCGGTGGGCGGAGATCGCCGGACCCGCCAGCTTTGAGGCATGATAGGTCGCCGAGGTCAAATTTTTCCATGCGAATTGCGCGTCAGTTCGCACCCTCAGGAGGTCCGTGGGTCCCTCAACTAGGTCAGTTTCCCTTTCTTCGACCTTCATTCTAATCGTGAATTCCTCCTTTAATCAATCTTTGGAAAAGGTGGCGAACTCAAAGTTTTCGATGGTCATAAATATGAATGGACAAGTATTTATAAACTTTCTCTCTCCTTCATCACTGGTAACAATCACCCTTCCATTTTGGACGCAATGACCCACACCTATATGATAGCAGGACTTGCCTTTAAATGAGCAACCCACGAAAATGTCTGGAATTTTAACAAGGCCTTCATTAGAGTCTGGTTCGTGAAATCGTTTTGTTTAGGCAACTAATGCTCTCACTGCGCTTGAAGGACAGTATCGCTCTCTGCAAGAAGCAAAGGAGGAAGTCGAAAAAGAATACGAAAAAGCCAAAAAGCTGTTTGACGTGGAACGCAGCGCAGCACAAAAGGTGGTGCTCTCCGTTTCTATTCCAGTGTTATTGTGAAAATGTATAGAGCTCTGTAAGCAAGTTTTGTTCAGGTATCCGAAGAACTAAAGCAATCGATAGCTGCCCTCGAGAGCCGCTTAGTTTTTGAGGAACGTTTGGCAAAGGAAAAGGTACGAGTTTCTCATGTACACAAGTCAGAGCTTTCAAATGTGACTTTCCAAGAATAGAAAAGAAAAAGGTTCCAGTTAGTTAAGAGAAGCACTAAATTGGTAACTCATGATGAAAAGCCATATGTCTTGCTTCTATCAAAAGTTGTCGAATCGCTTTGTGTATTTGTCATTTGGCCCTGACTGATATTTTGTTCTTCTTCCTTTAGTCGTTCATCGGGGTAGAATCGGGGACCATACACTGTTTCGGGTAAATCATTTGATGGGAGATGCTTTGTAAAGTGTTCCGTTTGTTCACGCCTGTGTTGAGTTCGATGTTTATTCCTCCGTAGAGCACTACTGTATTGAACTGTATTTCTATAGCACGCTGAGAGTACTATTGGGATATTTTATAAGTTTACTTATTAGAAATACAAAGGGTGTTCCAGGTTGATGCAGCGGCTGCAGAGGTGGCTCGCTTGGATAAGGAATTACGTAAGAGCAAAGCCGCGCTCGATGAAGCCGAAATCCAGATGAATCAATATCGTCAAAAAACCGAAGAGTTGTGAGAAATATTTGCTTCTGGAAACGAAACTCGCTGAAACTTGTAATAGAGAAGCTGAGCAGGTTGGAAATCTATTGTCTAATATGGGAATAATAGTTGTTCCACTACAATTTTGGACAGAACTCGAAGAAGCCGAGAAGGAAATAAAGGAACTCAAAACGATTACTCGAATTGAAATCGAAAGAAGTTGACCGTTTGGGAGATGTGAGTTTATACAATTCTTTTTTATCGGGTGGCGCTGCTTCATAATCTTCTTTCCAGCTCTGCGATGAGTTTGACGATATAGAAGCGAACTATCGACAAAAGCTGTTCAATTTAATCAGAGAAAGGGATCAGCTGAAGGCGTTGCTGGATCCAAGTACTATTCCGGAGGTCCCCAATCTACGAACTGCATTAACGGAAGGGTGAAATTTTGAAGCGTTGTCTGTCGTGATTGCAGTGGGAATGTCATTTCTTTTGTAGAGTGCAGATGCTGTCGCCGGAAACCACTCTTGTTTCAAACGATGAGCGTTCGGTAATTGTTTCACTATTGAAAATCTGATAGCAGATGTAATCCTAATTGAATTCGTTTGCAGGCTGATTCGCGAGTCAAAGAGCTCCAGAAGATAGTTCAGCAGTTAACGGAAGAGAACACTCGTCTTGCACAGGTACTGCTGAGTTCTGCACACAGTGTCTGAAGGTTTCTTAAATGTGATTCTCAAGGGTGTGCACTCTTACCATAGGGTAACTTGTGCTTGGAAAACATGAAAGTAGGCTTTGAATTGAACTATTGAACATCATTGATCGTTTTAGCACAACAGTGCTCACCAACCTGTTTGATTTGAGATTCTTGTACTACAATCCTCTGAGGGCTTACTTATATTTTAGGTTCTGATATGTCATCCAAAAACTGGCCTGAAGACAATTTCGCAATAAATCTGGTGTTCATGTAAGACAAAGATGGGTAGTGAAGAGGGTAGAGGATTGTAGAAGGCGCGCAATCAGCTGCGTGAGAAAGCACTGAAGATACCTACCTCACTGCTTCCGCGCCCTCGACTACACTCACCGCCCAAACAGTGAAGAGGTGACGGACTGTAATGCATTTGGAGTGAACAGTCAACATCATGTTGATTTTTCTTGTGGGGTGCACTTGCACAGGCCATCAAGCGCACGCTCTCATCGCCCAAGGCGTGATGCCAGTGTTTGAAATCACCCAAAACCTCCATCTCAGTGATTGAGTCTACTTCCGGAATGAACGGGCTGAATAGGTCCCCTTTTTCGTTTTTCTCCCTCACAGACGCACTTTTGGCATCTACTCTCCAACGTATCAACTTTTGCGATAACTGCCTCAAAGGAGAAGTGGTGCCCTGTTTGTGTAATCGAAAGCGTAGCTGCCTAAAAAGCGAAAACGGGTTCGATCCCTGCCGTAATGTCAGGCTTTTTGCTAAGGCCAAGCATCATTGTGCTTTTGAGTGTTTCATTATAATGAATAATGGGTGAACAATCGAGGTGATCCATAAACCAAGTACTTGCAACAACTAAGTGCAAGTCCCCTTGAGGTACATCTCTCAAAAAGTAATTAAGAATATCTGACTTGTCAGAGGGCTCTTTTTGGGGTGATTGTTAATTAAAGGGCGCGGAAACCATTTTTTTTAAACTTTTCTTTTGAAAGGAAATCAGCGTGTATTATTATGACATTTGCGTGTGGTGATGTAGTACAGCTACGAGCTCTTGTGCACTTGTGCAGGGTGATAACTTCATTGTTCAGCTGAGAACAATCGAGGATACCAAAATGGCGAAGGAGATTGAAGAATTAAGGAGACGGTGCAAGCTTCAAGAAAACCGAATATTTGAACTGGAGAAGGTATTAGAACGTATTCATTTCAGTGAACCTCATAACAAATGTGGGCGCGTACCGTGTTTCACCACAAGAGATGGTGAAAAAGGTCTGTTGCCGTTAGGCACAATGCACTACTTGGCCATGAATGTTGAATGTCTTCCGAAATTCATGGATCGCACAGATATGAATCAAAAGGCAAAGTTGTGAAGGAGGAGGCCTTGTGAGATGGTAGCGCATTAGATCTATGCAATTTCATCCATTTCCAGTTAAAAGTATGTCAGAAATTTTTGTTTCACGGGATCGCACTATGGATCACACTTTCTTTCCCACCTTTTCTTGGTTTCTGGTTCCTTGACGTATTTGTCCCGCAAGGCCTGGTTCACATTGAAATTGGTAATCACATTTTGTGTTAGGAAACGTGCAGCTATGTGAACATTACTACTTGTTGCATGATGGCCTGATGCGCACCGTCTTCTTCCTAGGTACAGCAACAGTGTAATGCATTTTTTATGATGTTAAAGAAGAAACAATTTGATGTTCAAATTGAATTTCAACATCCTCACACTCTCTCAAAGCATGCGGGGCTCAGAAGAAAGGACAAGGCTGAAGAACTCGCGAGTGGGGATTCGAATGTTTCTTCATATAGTACCAGAATGATCCCCGGCAACCGATGGAATCCACTCCCCTGTAAAGCTTAGCGCTTCTCCTCCTCCTTATCCTCCCTCCACACTCACTGCTCTTCCACACCTTTGCGCTGGCCTGCACCTGGTGGAATGAACGGAAGTGTGCTAAGTAGGTGTTTATATAGCCGCTGGAGGTTTTATCACAATGGTGCCATTGCAAAACATTGATAGGGCAAGCCCTGCGAGCTACCCAGATTTATTCGCGCCTGTTAATTCCATTAGTTGCCTTATCACTCATTTCACTGCCGACGGACAGACGGACGATTACAAACAAACCGACACACCAAGGTTGTGGTTTATATAATGAGGAGATTGCGTTGCAATGGCAGTGTATCGTTTTGGAGAACGTGCTATGTACATATGTACATACAATGCTGGTAAACGTGAATCAAATTCACCGCATATTCTTTTTTGCTCAAGCGTTTTGATCAAGAGGGTCACAGTTGCTGAGAATTGTGGACGTTTTTGATAGTGTTTTTCGCTACTCATTGTTTTTTATGGGCGGAAGTGGTGCAGTGACAAGTGGCGCGCTCACCACGCGAGCGGTCCGGGATCAAATCCTGGGTCGTGAGTCGCCCGGGCCAACCAAGCCTTCCATCCCTCCGGGGTCGGTTAATTGGTACCAGACTTGTCTGGGAGGATAAAAACACTGACTTGTACATCGGCTGGCCCCCGCAAGTCATTGTATAGGCCACATCGCATTCAAACGCCACTACGAATGTACAAATGGAAGTAGAATGCGTGCCGCATCCCAAAAAGGGATTGATCAACGGCAAATGCTTTATCCTTTATCCTTTATTTATTGTTTTTTTTTTCAGATTTGTGATGATGTGGACGAGTCGGAGAGTAAGCTCAGAAGGAGAATTGTCGAGCTGGAGAAAAGAGATTTCTGCTCAGAAAGTGTCCCCAATGAAAACAAAAGTGACAAGCCTCTCCCCCCCCCCCTTCTTGATTGCTCTTCAACACAGGTTTGCATTTTTGTTGAGCTTTACTCTCTCTTCTTTTTCACTATGTTTTTACTTGTTCTTTCTCACTTCTCTCCACCCTTTTCTTTTTATTTCATTATCACTTCTTTCCAAACTCTCTTCCGCTTTGCATAGTTTTTTTTTTTACTTTTTTTCCGTTCTCTGACTTATCTCTCAGATGATCCATGAATATTTTATCACTTTCTCTTGTTAGAGGCAGCACTTATTAAAAGGGGTGCCATAAAAGTAAAGGCGGCTGGAAGCAGCAGGCTGACAGCAAAGAAAGCGCGGCGTGGTATTTTCGTGGCAAGACAGCTGCAGCGCACTATGGCTGCAAACCTATAAACATGACGCTTAAACCCACTCCGCCCACCTCTGCTTTGCAAGGTGATCATTCACCTTCTATTTGTGTGTTTTATCTGGCGGAGCGTTTTAATTGGAGCGAGGACCGCAAAGTGTGTGAGCAGTGGAAGTATGTATAAGCACCACAAGTGGCAGTTAAAGGTCAAAAGAAGCTAGGTGTTGTTTTTCGCGCACAGGGGTTGCTGGTTGCAGTGTACTAGTGCGTCTAAACTTGTTTCTTCGTCCCCCCCTGTACCTATGCTGCGCCCACCAGGTGTTGCCAGTAGCAGGTACCTCCAGTGGCCGTATCGTTTGACTTCTCTGTGCAGTGCCTTATCAATCAAAGCATGGACGTATGTTGGCATGATGGAGGCTTCAGGTAACACGAGCAAACGATTACTTGGTTTCAGGCTCGTCCATTGTTGAAGTCGGACGGGCAAAGAAAGGGGTCCGGTTTTGCTTGGTATAGGAAACTTTCTGTTTTTTTTGTGCTAGTGGTGCACCATTAGTACTCTTTTACCGCTCTAATCCACCCAACATCTGTCGCTACCTTGAAATATATAATATGCACGGGCCGAATCACGCGCAGAATGCATCGCACTTTTACAAATACTTCCATCGTTCCTTAACATGAGTATTTTCAGAGAAGTGGATGATGATAGGGAGGAAGAACGAATAGAAGCTGGCAAGGTAAACCTACGAAAATGGTCCTTTCGGAGTTTAAACTGCAGAGAAAAGTGCCATTTCAGGAGGCACCATACGTTTCAGCACCAACATCACCTCAGTTGTTACAGAAATCTCTCGATCAAACGGAAGGTCCCATGTATGAGGTGAGTGGTTTATTTTCATCTCTAGAAACTGGAACTGGATTGCTCCATAGGCATACCAGCGTGCTGTGCATGCTGGCGCACATATAATGCGAGACTTCGGCAGTATATAAAGCTGTAAAAAGGCTGGCGTTCTGACCCCGTCTCAAGAATATGAGGTTTCTGGCAAAGCACCCTAAACGCGTTCCATCCACCAGAAGCCTTTCTTTCTTCCTTGCTAGTCTCTGATACACTTTTCCCGTCTGGCCTGACTCGGAATGGAAATCGCATATGGCGAGCGCCTCTCACTTCTGAGCACGTTTTAGCCACTACTGACATCTGATCTCTTCCTCCTGCAACCCAACTATAATACTTTTTGCCCGGTCTGGAAACTTGACTCAACTTAAAGAACTCACCATACAACTTGTGGTGGTTCTTGAGCGCCTTCTTGGAACTTAGAGCCCCTGTTCTCGCTCGCCTTTCAGTGACTGTTCGAAGTCACTGGCCACGCTTTCTGAAGGAACAAGGGTTTATAGATGAATTTATTACGCTAAGCCTTATAACTGACAAGTTCTTGGTCTTGTCTTAATCGATGTTAAGGCCCAAGTCGATCGTTTCGATAGAGGTCTTGTCCCAAGAAGAGTCTTGTCCACGCGGATCTTGAAGGCAGAAGGTCTCGTAGCACACCCTGCTCTTCTAGGCTCATCCTTCGCTTTTATACCGTAAACGTCGGCGGAGTCACAGAAATATGTAAGCATAACCCTGATTTCCCAAGTGTAATAATGTAAGCATAGCTAAGGTCTGCCAAAAGATAACGAAACTAACCAAAGACCAAAGGCGAGTCACAAAAGTAAAGGAGGAAAGAAAGCTTCTAACCATTTTTGGCGCGTTTAACGACACCCCCTCCAAAGAATCTTTCCAATTCCATAGATATTATAATCTCAACTGGTCGCAGAAGAGAATCATATCCGATATAAGGTAAGCAGATCCTCTCACGAAGTAAAAGGCGCATTTTGCTGCGAGAAGTGTGCGCAGCGGCTTAGCAAGCCTGTGCGATGAATTTCCTTCGCAGCTGACCGCACCCACCGATTTCCCTATCAGCTTAATGCCCGCTTTAAGGCTGGCGGGCCCCATCCGTTTTGCAGAATAGCAGAAATCAGGTCGATGACGTCAGCAACATGAGACTGAAGTCAACGGGGCAACACGGGTTCTGCAAGTTGCAGGTCGTTTCCCATAATTCTTCTCAAATGCTACATCTCGTAAAAGCTGAACCTTCATTCCTAAGGGGTGGTCAATTTATCGTAAGGTCTGTCTTTGAAGCCATGGGTCGGATTTGAATTGGTATTATTTTGAAAATTGGACAGGAAATGCGCTAAGGAAAGTCAATGAGAGAAAAAAGCAAAAAGTACCATAAAAAACACCGAAATTTCCCTTGTGAGGTCAGCCATGGTGTGAGGGAGAAACACGAGGAGGAAAACGTTAGAGGCTGCAAAAGCCAAGGTGTGCCGCGATTAACAATTGTTTCAGCGGTCGCAGTGGTTGAGCAGGAGCACTGGATCCCTTAACTTTTAATTCGCGACCCGATTTGTGGCCTTCTTTAAAAGAATTTCTCCAAGAATCTAAGCGCGTTCCGTGCCCTAACCGGCCAGTTCTCAAACAATTGCAAATATCAGTTGAATATCACATGTTATCCCGTTGATCGTCGATTTGCTCGAGCGGGCGCCAGCAACGTCTCCATTCGTCCCTGTCGCGTGCTAGAGTGGTCCAGTGGATCCTCCTCGCTCGAGGGACACGAAGTCCTTCATTCCTTTCGTTCAGAAGCTTTCGTGAAG